TATTGCTCGCAGTGGTGCGCAAAGGCACTACGGAACAGCATTCACCACAAGCTGCTCTCAGATCTGTACCTCTTCTCGAGGAGCATCCATGAGGAACAAATACAAGTTTAGTGCTTTATGAGAATGCAGTACTCTAAGTATAGTTTATGACACATAAGGTGCAACACTCATGTAGAGACATATTGCAAACAACCCCTCAGAGAAAAGACATGCCATACTGCCGTAACGCTACACACGCTCTGAATGACCACCAACAGCACCGTGCTGACGGGCAGCTTTAGCTTCGTGTTTTAGGTTTTATTTCATAGACTTCGCTTTTTACAGAAGCTAAATTTTACAAACTATGTGTGTTCCTGCTCAAGAGCTTACAATCTAGTTTTAGATGGGGTAAACTGGAGTTAACAAATGTCAAAGAGAAAACAAAGGACAGAGCAACTTAACATCAGTTTGCCAGTTTAAACAGCTCAGTATTTGTCCCAAAACACACACTACATTCGTACCTTATAGGAGTCAGAAATGTTTCTAACGAGAATCTTAAGGACAGAGTAGGTAGAGGCCTATAAATGAGGCAACAAGACACTTGGCACCAGGTTCTAGTGAAAAACTATTTATTAAACCAAACAGAGATGACACACGTGACCATGTGAGTCTTATTACCGTAGTGCACCTCATAAAAGCACTGCAACTTGGTACCTGCTACACAGCTACCAGAACCCCATTAAATGCTTCAGCCTTTGATTTTCATACAAGAATGCCTAAAAACAGACCAAGAAAGAGCAGACCAAGTCAAGAGGGAGAAAAGGGGTGTGTGTGGGAAAATCATGTGCTGGCGAGAACTTAAGGAGAACAGCAATTTTGTAGGACTTGCCCACAAAGTCACCTTGTTCCTACAACAAAACAGCATGGGAGGTCACAGAAGCTAGTTTGTGAACTACATGGTCCTCAAACGCCGCTGACCTAGTACATTCATAGCCATCTGCCAGGCAAGTCTCACAGCCATCTCAAGTTAAACACCATTTCCTTATACTGTTCATAAAAAAACTAGTTCGTTCTTGCTTACATTAACTGGAGTAACTTTGCTGCATTGCAAATCAACACTAGCTGCGAAGCAAGAATACAACTGTTGAAAGGGACAGTATGACTTCTGGCAAAATGGATCAACGTTCCCCAGGAACACCCTTCATGTTCCACTCCTGTGCATTCCTACCAGTTACTGCTGTATGAGTGAGAAGAGAACCTTGCATCTCCCTTAGGAGAAAAAAAGAAAAGTAACTGCACTACTGTGGATTGCACTTGCATCACATACTCTGCTTTGAAAACAAACTGAAGCTCTAAAGCTATAGGGAATGTACTCAGCAAATCATCCTCTTTCGCAAACGTGGTCAAGTTGCCAAAATAAACTCAGCTGACAGCTCCTTCAAAACTCAGATCTGTTTCTGGAGGTTTCTCTTCCCCAGAAGCAGTATGATTTCATCACCAAGACAATACGTACCTTCATCATAAAACTGAAAGAATGCCATCTTCTTCCCCACACATGACAAAGTTCAATTCCTGCTAATTTTACAGTTTCAGTACCCAAACGATATAT